CCCCCTTCCTCCCTACCCCTTTCTCACCTACCACCTTCTTCCTAGCGCCTTCGCTCCCACTCCCTTTCTTGTCTCCTCTACGCGGCCAGATGCAAGCGTGTAAGCTGTCGGGGTGTGCGCGCACTTGTGGCTCAACCACACCCACACGGGGGGGGACTTGCGGTTGAGCCGGTCAGAAAGTTCAAGAACAGGACACAATAAGAAAAAGAGAAAAAAGAAACGAAGAAATAAAAAGAAAGAGAAAAAGAAGAAACGAAAAGGATGCACTGGCTTTAGCTTTGTTCTTACCGCTTTTTGTTTTTGTTTTCACAAATGCGCTTTTTGTTCGTGGCAATGTGATTTATATTGTTAGGTCAATAGGTCATTAGGCGTGGATTGCGTGAAGTCTGTAGACATATATGCGTACGTAAAAAAAAAAAAAGAAGAAGGAGAAGAAGAAAAGAAAAAAGAAAAAAGAAAAAGAAGAAGAATAAGAAAAAATGTTGAGCTTTGTTGTGACAGTGGCAGTTGGTTTATGTGTGGGATGTGTCATTTGCTTTGTGTGACTGATAGGCCTTCCTCTTCCCTTGTCCTTTTTTGACTGGCTGATAGGCCTTCCTCTTCCCTTGTCCTTTTTTTCTTCGACTGGATCCCTTTCTCTTTCTCTTCCCTCTGTGAGGTTTGGTTTCCTCCTTTTCTTTACCTCTTTCTTTGCCTTTTACCTGCGTGCAAGTGGGTCCTTGTGACACACGGGGATGCGGGCAGCCAGAGCTCAACCTGTCATCCACGTGGCTGGCCTTGTACGTAAGAGGTGACGAACAGGCGGAGCTTTCCTTCTTTTCTTTTTTTGTTGTCTTTTTTTTTGTGGTCTTTTTCCGCCTTTGCGCTCCGATTCAGTGTGACAATATTTGCGTACGTGTGTGTGCGTGCACGTGTGCTTGCACACAAAAAAGAACGTTTCTTGCAATCATCTTGTCATACGTAGACATGCATGCACGTAAACGCACACGTGTTTGTGGAAATGTGTTAAAACTTCAACGTCATCTTTATGTGCACTTTTCATGTAGCCACGTCTTGGCCAACGTACACATGCATACGTATGTTTATATGCATGGATCATGCATATTATCCCTCGTTTTTTTCTCTGGTTCTTTTCTTCCTTTTCGTAAAAATGGTTCACCGTGTGGTTGCTTGCGACAAAATGTGTGAACACATATGCACCATTAGATGTGTGCATGATTGCAGTGCGTATGTGTTTCTTCAATGTGGGTTGGGTGTGGAGTGACGTGCGTGTTTGTGCAAGTAATCTGAACTGGGAGACTGAAAGAACAGAGAAAATTCATCAATTAAAATGAGGGGAATGATATGTACCTGGAACGTAATTGTTTTCGGTGTGGAAAAAAAGGGAAGATCCGTTAAGAGCACAGTTTGTGCAACGTGTCCAGGAGATCTCATGGAGAGCCCGGAAAGCACGCTTGGGAGGGAAGTAATTCAGAGTTGGGAAAGGGAGGTTGGATGTACGTACAAGGAGTCCCAAGCTCAGAACTATGGGGTTGTGGACAATGAGGTACACGTAGTGAGGGGTATTAGAAGACACTAAGGGAAAACAATAGTGAGGGTTATCAGAAGGCGTAGTACGTACACGAGGCAACAACAGTAGTGAGGGTTGCCAGAGGACATGGTGGAAAATAATGAAGACAGTATCTGCTGCGGATTCTCTGAAGGTAGGTCAACGCAATAGTCTAATCAAAAGTGTCGCTTTCTTTTCTGTTGGGTCTATTCTAGCTCGACAGTGGACCTGGGGCTAGTGGACTATGAGGGTGCAGTGGTTGAATTAGTACCAAGGCCAGAGCGGTGGTGTAAGGGAAACAAGTAGAGGAGCGAGACGGCTGTGTGTCTGTGTGTTGGGTTGGGGGTGGGTGGGGAGGGAGAGAGAGAGAGACACAGAGAGACTTTGTACACGCTGGCCGCAGGAAGGGTCAGGCCACTGGCTGGCTCTGTGTGTGTGTGTGTGTGTGAGAGAGAGGGAGGGAGAGAGAGAGAGAGAGAGAGACTTTGTGCACGCTGGCCGCAGGAAGGGTCAGGCCACTGGCTGGCTGTGTGTGTGTGTGTGTGTGTGAGAGAGAGAGAGAGAGAGAGAGAGAGAGAGAGAGAGAGAGAGAGAGAGAGNGAGAGAGAGAGAGAGAGAGAGAGAGAGAGAGAGAGAGAGAGTTTGTACACGCTGGCCGCAGGAAGGGTCAGGCCACTGGCTGTGTGTGTGTGTGTGAGAGAGAGAGAGAGAGAGAGAGATTTTCGGGGTCCGTGAGAGACTTTGTACACGCTGGCCGCAGGAAGGGTCAGGCCACTGGCGGCAGGGTGCCTGACAGCAAGGCGCTTTGGGGGATTTTCGTGCTCATATTTGTGGAGAAAACTTCTTGACGAGTGTAGGTTATGTGACCATGTGTTAGAGAAAAAACAGGTTTTTTTTTCCGAGGAGAAACGGAATTAGGAAAATCAGAGAAGTAGCTCCTCTGGCTGGCAAAAGAGTTCTGATGGGGAAAGAAGAATGGTTTTGTTTCCCGTACTGTGACTTAGTCAGACCAAGAAATTAGGTTCGGTGCTCCAGGGTCGGGAAAACCAACAGGTTCGGAAGCAGTGCTGGTGGAATGACGTGGTGAAGGAAGTTGATATTTTGCTCGGTTGATGTCAAAGCGCAATCTCACAATGGTGATGTGGTTGTGTGTGTGTGTGTGTGTGTGTGTGTGAGAGAGAGAGAGAGAGAGAGAGAGAGAGTCGTAGGAGGATTTTGCTTTCAGTCGTAGAGCGGCTAGCCGACCGATGCTTGGGCAAGTTGGAAGGCAAGAAGATGATTCGTTCTTACCACACTGGTATTTTACTGATCTGGCCTAATCTGTGTCGTTTGCGTGTCAGTGTGTTAAGCGGATGAGGTCAGTGCGCTCCTCTCCTGTTCCGAGGAGAATTTGGCATGCGGCGATTTGAAAAAAATGCTAGGAGCCTCTACTTCAGAATTTTCGCTTCCTTTTGAAGCAGGGATGTGCGAATGTATTCAAAACGATGCAACCATTGTGTCGTTATAGTATTCATAACTTGGCAAGCAGGGTGTCGTTCTAATAGAAGAGGCCTGGAAGAACTCACTTGTTAGGTTTTCGGGGAGCAGGATAAGCGGACAGTATAAGTCCCGTGGTTGTCAGACGTGTAGTCGCCTTGTTAGGAACGATGACACAATTGCGTGGCAATGTCCATCCGCTTTTTCCTGATTTTGCCGCTGTTGTCGTCGTCGTCGTAGTGTGTAAAATGTGGTTTGACTTAAAAATTCGTACCTTATTGACTGCCGTTTGGTGATTGTTTTTAATACTTTTTATCTTCCACACGATTGATCGTCTTTCGATTTGTGGGCGGTTTTGGCAGCTGCTTGCTTGATTGGTTTGTTCATTGATATGATGGCCTGTGGCAGCTGCTTGCTTGATTGGTTTGTTCATTGATTTGATGGCCTGTGATTTGGTAGCTGCTCTTCATGTGCTTTGGCCGAGGCAAACATGCTTTCAACTCAGGAAGTAAGTCGAATTCGCAAATTACGAAAACAGTTCATAACTCAAAAAAATTGAGTAGTTATTTAATTTAGACTGTCCGTCCCAACCACTGTTTGGAGTGCACGGGATGACCGAGTGCATGTGGCATGTATGGATTCGTGTCTCTATAAACCGTGTCAACGCAATGTTTGGCGGCTGCCAGTCAGGCTGGTCCGGTTTCAGTCCGTCGGCCTGATCCTGGCCCGGTAGGACTGTTGTCCGTCCGGGTAGTCCCCTGGCCACCTCTATATCTCAGCTTGTTGTGCTCTGTTTCGGACTTTCTATCTTTTGGCGTTTCGACACTCGGCCTGTCCGTTGAGCTAGATGCTCAGCTGCTGCCCCTGTGCGTTCATCTCTCTCTCTCTCTCTCTCTCTCTCTCTCTCTCTCTCTCTCTCTCTCTCTCTCTCTCTCTGTCCTGTTGTTGCACGTGAGCTCATCTCTCCCGGCCGAACCTCTGTTCCACCGTGCCAGTTTTTTGAGTGTGCCGATCCCCTTTGTACAGTCCTTGCTGTGGACTTGGGTGAACGCATGCGTATATCAATCCTGACAACAATCCAGTTGTGAGTGTGGTGCTAATTATGGTCGTACGGTCCCTGTTGTGGGATTGGATGGAAGCGCTTACTGAGACACCGACCTGTGCCGTTTTGCGGATTAACTACGAGGAACATAGTTTTTTTTTCCTGTCTGCAGGGTTTTGCGTTATTTGTCAGGAGGTAGTGGTCGTTTGACAACAGGGTCAGAAGACAGTACTCATAGATCACTCGCTGTCTTTACAGATTGGACCAGGATGCACATTGAGGTTGCTTGCCCCAATGGGCATATATCTGTGTAGAAGTGGTTGGTGAAGGATGGGGCAAGGTCAGGGACCACTTAGAGAGACGATGATGACAGCAGAGGGGATCAGGCAGGAAAATCTGTTTGAGACAATTAGACTGCTGGCATCCTGAGGAGTGATAGCGTGAGGTTCATTGAACATGGTTTAATGGGATTGAAGTGGTGCGTTCATCTTTTATGTCTCGTTCGTGGTGCTCTTTCGGTTTGGCTTCTGCTTATCTGTTGCCAACTCGTCGTGAGAGACACCGACATTCAGTCGGACGGCTATGTTGTGGTGTCTTTGGTAATTCGTGATTCTGTAAAGGGGTCATCGGGGATTTAGTTGGTCGTCTGTTTCGTTTGTGGTTGATTTGTGGACAAGGGCAGTCGTATCTTGTCAGATACTGAAGTGCACATAGCTTTGTTGGATTGCATTTTGTTCTCATGCGCTTGTGTGGCGGTGGGTTTTTGTCTGGCTTGTTGCAGGTGGCTGAGCGTGCCTTGTTTCTCTGGAACAACGATTATATTGTTAACCTTGTCATTAACAATCGCGAAACCATCCTTCCGCTCATCTTCAAGCCTTTGGAAACAAATGCTAGAGGACATTGGAACTCTGCAGTACATGGGCTGACTTGTAATGTGAGGAGGATGTTTATGGAGATGGACCCGCCGATGTATGATGAGTGTCAACGACAGTTTCTCGAAGAGGAGGCGAAGGCGAAGCAAGAGGAGGATAAACGGATGAGTGCCTGGAAGCGGCTTGAACAGGTTGCGGCATCCAAGCCGGCTGTTGTGGCGCCTCCATTGGCAAATAATGTAGGTGTTGGGACACAGAGAACGGCGGTAGGATGATCGGATCGGTATTGGAGGATTGAGACGGTCTCATGGTTGCTGCCAAGTCCAACCTAGGGAGAGAAGATATGGAGCATGTGTTGGGAAAGGCGAAATGCAAGCTAGCGATGGATATGATGGGCGTGGCGTGGCTGCAAGGAATAGTGTCGGCAAGAGTTGATGTCAGAGGGGAAGGAGGGAATCTTGCTTTTGCTGGGATTTTACCTATGTTAGGCTCTGTGGGCTGGCAAGTGGCAGCTGGTTGTTGGGGTAGTACCGAAGACAAAGAGATGCAAAGTTCGTCTCCCTTGTGTCGTGCATGCTATAGGCAGTGAGGGGACGGGCGCAATCTTTTCCGTTTGCCAATGTCAGCATGGAGCAAGAGCTCGCTGGGTGATTGAGATATTTTTCTCTGTAAAAAGGAACACAGGCCGAGGGGGGGGTGCGGGGTGGAGAAGGACCCAAGAGAATTTGGGCCGTGAAAAAGACTAGTCAACGAGCACCTACTTGCAGAGAGGGTGGAAGAATGGATGAAAAAAGGAAAGACTAGTGAGCAAATGTCTAACCGGCAGGTACTTGGATGGGATGATCTTCACCTGTGCGATTGGAAAAAAAAGGACGAGTATGTTGACGTGAGCAGTGTTCTCGTGAAGAATTTGACAGCACCGAGAACTTATTGACTAGGCAAAGTGAAAGGACAGTTGGGCTTGGTGCCTGTGTTATCGCGAAAGGAGGGTATAAGGGCTTGGGGTGATGGGCTCGAGCGAGAGAGAGAGAGAGAGAGAGAGAGAGAGAGAGAGAGTCCGAAGCATGTGTGCTCTGCCAGCTGAGTCATTGTGGCAGGCAGTGCAGTGAAATCACTGAAATGTAAATTGGTTGTTGCTATGTTTGGTCAGCATCTCTCAGTAACCTCTTTACATTGCTCCCTATGCGATGTGCCCGCCCATTTTCGTAGATGTGTAAAGAGACCAGAGTAATTGTTTCTCGTTCGGTGCGCTTGTTGTTGGAGCTTTTGGGGTTCACCACGCCAGCCAGCCATCCAGCCGGCAATCGGGTACTACCTCTCTTCTGGACTCCTCTGCTGCCAAACGTTTCTCCTTGCTGCATGTTCCCGAGTTTCCTGATCTTTCATTCATTTAACTGCCAGTGATGATGTCATGTTCCACCAATGGATGCATGGGTGCTGCTTTGCAAAGATCTATGTATTGTTCTCTTGCATATCTGCCAAATTTGGTTAGGCTGTGTCTTATCCATGGGCCATTAGGAAAGCCCCTTCCCTGTTTCTATCCATGGTTAGGCTGTGTCTATCCATGGGGCTCTTTAGGGCCAGCAAATGCAGGATGATCGTCAAGAACCGTGACTGTCGTGGTCATGTCTTGTGCACGGCAGCAGCTGACAGTATGATTGGTCAGGTGTATAGCAGTGGCAAGTGGATGGTGATAGGGTGGAAAGAACGAGGAGGAGGGCCATGCAAGAGAGGGAGAGAGAGAGAGAGAGAGAGAGAGAGAGAGAGAGAGAGAGAGAGAGAGAGAGAGAGAGAGAGAGAGAGAGAGAGTTGGGTATTGGGCAATGGCATGTGGCAGAAGTTTGTGTACGGAGAGGGAGCAGAAGAGGAGGGGGGGAGAGAGGAAGGGAGAATGTGTGGAATCAATCTGCATGGGGATTGACAATACTGCCCGTCTTCCCAAGTTTATCTTGTCTGGGAGGTAGTGGAATACTATTTTGAGACGGACCAGAATATTTTTCTCCTGTAGTGACTTGTTTTGAGAGTCTGAGCAGAATCTCTCTCTACTGTAGTGAGTTCTTGAAAGTTGTTACGTGGGGTCGGATGGACATGAAGAATTATGGAATCAGGGGGGAAGCATATTTCATCGAGAAGTGGGTTGATGGTTCTTTCTACGAACGTGTATGGACAAGTGGGCATCCATGCTGGCTGTGAAGTGGGAATAAGGAAAGCCCATGTTACGTCTGTACAGAAAGCATGAGAAGATGGTTATGCGGTTTGGTTGGCTTTCTCTTGCCCTTGTTTATTCCGCTCTGTATCGCCCTTCTTCTTGTTTACTGATCAGCCTCCTGTGGTACTTCACCACCATGCGAAGGGGAGCATTGTGCTACGGCGAAAGCTTGACATCTCTGAGGCATTTGTCCTTATCTTCGGTGCTCTCTGCCTTTTGATGGGTGTAACTTTCAGTTTTGGAATAGTTATGTCTGTCAAATTAACTGATTCTTGTTCAGCTTGGTGACGGCTTTTCCGGAATTGAGTATGTACTATGTATGTATCAACTACAAACTTGTTTCCGTTCGGTGTAAGCAGAAGACTGCATGTAGATGGGTCTCTTGTGGTGTTACTCGCGTCCAGATTTAGGAGGAATGGTAGGGAAGAAAAGCCGGGCTTGTCCCTTAAATCGTCTCTTCTTCTCTCCCCCCTGCCCTCCC